CCAAAACAGCCTGAAAATTCCCTGGAAAATGTCATGAAAATGGCCCCAAAACAACCTGAAAAATCCTTGGAAAATGTCATTAAAAATGGCCCCAAAACAACCTGAAAACTCCCTGGAAAATAGCCCAGAAAATGGCTTGAAAATGGTCTGGAAAACAGCCTGAAAAACACCAGAAAACAGCCAGAAACCAGAAGAGCAGCTGGCGATGGTGCGCATGTCCACTGAGAGGGCTTTGTTTGCCACCTCTGGCACATGTGCCATAAGTTTGCCATCACGGGAATAAACTCTCCTACTCAAGCATGGGGCTGGAGTAGCTCAGGGGCCCCCAAGCAGTGTGCCATGACCCACTACCGAGCCAAGGCCTATTTGCCAGCGGGCCGCGTTAAGCTACCATGGACTCCGCAAAAGATTACTTATGACCCAGTTCAAATAGCCGCTCCCTCCCCTTTCTTCCACAGTCACACGACCGCATTTTAGGGGCTTGGCAACCAGCCTGCATTTAAGACCGTTTACAGCACCCTGTGGTTTTGCTTAACGAGGGTGTGGTATTCACTTAACAACCATGCATTCATTTAATGGTCATGGTGATTCACTTAACGACTGCCGCAAGACAAACATTCTAAGATTGTCTTGGTCATGGGATTTATGACTGTTACAATTTATGACCGTAATGAACAAATTTGATTATGGTCGTAATCGAGGATTAAGGTAAAGGTTCCCCTCGCACATATGTGCTAGTCGTTTCCAGGTCTAGGGGACCGTGCTCATCTACGTTACAGAGCCAGTGCTGTCAGAGACGTCTCCGTGGGCATGATTGAACGCTGATGGCGCACAGAACGCTGTTACCTTCCCACCAAAGTGGTCCCTATTTTTCTACTTGCATTTTTTACATGCTTTTGAAGTGCTAGGTTGGCAGAAGCTGGGACAAGTAATGGGAGCTCACTCCGTTACACGGTGTTAGGGATTCGAACCGCTGAACTGCCGACCTTTCTGGTCAACAAGCTCAGCGTCTTAGCCACTGAGCCACCGTGTCTCATAAGTCGAGGATTAGCTGTATATAAAAGAGCGTTATACTGTCTTTCACCAAGCTTTGGAGGCCCTGCTGGACCAAACTTTTCCCCCACTCCCTGAATTATTCAAATAAAGGAAACTTTTGGGTTGATACGCCAATGCTGGCTATTGACATAAAAAGATCTGGCTACCTGAGCCATGGGGCGCAGTGATTAGAGTGCAGTACTGCAAGCTACTCCTGACAGCCAGCTGACTGCAATTTGGCAGTTTGAATCTCACCAGGCTCAAGGTTGACTCAGCCTTCCATCCTTCTGAGGTCGGTAAAATGAGGACCCAGACTGTTGGGAGCAATAGGCTGACTTTTTAAACCGCTGAGAGAGGGCTATAAAGCACTGCAAAGCGGTATATAGGTCTAAGTGCTATTGCTATTCAGGCTGTCATGACAGAATATTGCAAGGTGATTTATATGGGGCTGCCTTTAAAGACTCTCTGAAAATTGCAGTTTGTCCAGTGGGCTGGCAAATGGACTGGACTCATGGCATTCGGAGAAACAAAAAAATTGTGGGTCCCTGCACTGATCGCCACATGATTTCTGGGTATAATTTTAGTTGCTGGTTTTGATCTATAAAGCCACGGGTATTTACAGGTCTGCCTTCACTATCAATTAGACCAATTACAATAGTGCTTTTCCAATGTGGCAATTTGGAAGATGTCTGGAGTTTCCAGAAGCACTAGTCTGTCACCTCCTGTGCTCTCTCCCTTGTCCCATCTCTTGGCACCCAGCTTCCCTGGTTCCTTTATTATTATTTTATTTGTATCCTGCCTTTATTATTGTTACAAACTCAAGGAGGCAAACACAAAAATGCTCCTTCCTCTTCCTAGTTTCCCCTCAATAACAATTCTGTGAGGTAACGCAAAGATACTTTTTCAAGAGGCAACTGAACTTTCTAGAATAGGGGTGTCAAACTAGATTTCACTGAGGGCCCCACCAGGGTTGTGTTTGATCTCCGAAGGGCTGGGGTGGCCATGGCTAGGGGAGGCTATGACCAGCTCGACAGCACTTGTGTCGGGGACATCTGTGGTGCCAAGTGCTAAGGCAGGACTTCCCTTGAGACTCTCACTCTCATAATTTTTCTTTCCTTCCTTCCTTCCTTCCTTCCTTCCTTCCTTCCCTTTTTCCTTTCCTTTCCTCTCCTTCCTATCTTCCTTTCCCCCCTTCACTCATTCTTTCTTCTTCCTTCACCTCTTATTTCCCCTTCCTTGCTCTCTTCCCACTTTCCCTTTGTCTTCCCTCTTTCACTCTCTCCTTTCCTGTCCCTTGCATGGTCAAATGCAAACGGGGGAAACATTTATCTTTTTCTTTTGTTTTTAGTTCATTATGCTAGTCCTCTGGCCATAAGCTGGCAGAGCGCTGCAGGAGGCTGTCGTGACTCCTGAGCTCCGTTTTTGCTAGCAGGGGCACTGAGGGCTGGTCCTTTGCTGTTTCCAGGCCGGCCCCATGGACCAGTTCTAAGCACCCTGAGGGCCAGCTCCGGCCTGCAGGCCTTGAATTTGACACCCCCGTTATAGAAAGTCCAGTTGCCTTTTAAAAAGGCATCTTTAGGACAATCATGACCTGGATGACAGAGAATCTCCATTGACGTTCCATGAAGTGATTTGGGCTGAGACAGAATGACTGGCCCAAAGTCACCCAGTTGTCCTTTGCTCCTGAACCAGAGGTGGTATTCAGCAGGTTCTGACCAGTTCTGGAGAACCAGTAGCGGACATTTTGAGTAGTTCGGAAAACCTGCAAATCCCACCTCTGACTGGCCCCACCCCCATCTATTCTCTTCCTCCTGAGTCCCAGCTGATCCGCTGGGTCTTCTTTTGTTGCCCTGCACAGGAGAATGGAGCTGGAAAGCAGGTTACTGGAGTGGGGTGGGAATGGAGATTTTACAGTATCCTTCCCTGGCCACGCCCACCAAGCCACACCACGCCCACCAAGCCACACCCACAGAACCGGTAGTAAAAAAATTGAATCCTACCACTGTCCTGAACTCATCATAATCAGGAGCTATGATAAAATAAAAGAGTGGGATTACTGGAGCTAGGTAAACTCTTACTAGCAAAATGAGTGAGTCAACGAACAGAAGACCGCAATCACTGTTATTTAAAATCATATTTAATCGCACATATTCTTTGTATAAAACAATTTCTTTTCATTTTTATACATATGAGAAAAAGGTATGTACAGGAAATGCCTGCAATGGCACCCTTGCATAAGATACAAATTGATCCGAAGAGCAGAGGTTGTCCTTTGCATCTTGCCATAATATTGTTTTTATGATTATTTTTTTTAATGGCAAGAGATACCCTGGAAAGAAAAAAACAGAGGAAAACCGATGCAGAAGACTGCAGAAAGATAAAAGTGAAGGAAACAAAGCAAAAACAGAGGTGACAGGAAGTTGGTGTGAATTAAGCTGGTTTGTAAATCATAAACTCAGGCCAAACGTTGGCATTGCAATATTAGAAATGGAGTTTATCCACAAAGGCACTTAGGAAATAAGATGGCCAACATTCAGCCTACCAAAAACCATTTGTCATTTGGGGCTTGGCCAGTGCAATATTGAACAATTCCACCAGTAAGACTTTCAGAAATGGAATTGGCTCAACAGGAAAACAAAAACAACAACACAATTTGATCTGAAATATAAGATGGCAGGTTGGAATAATTACCAGTTTCAGAAAAGTCTTTGGTCAGAAACAGGAATTCAACAACACGCAGGACTTAATCCTCTAAAAATAGTCAAAGATAAAAATATACATCAGAGGAGACAGTAGGAACAGCCCTTTAGAAAATGCTCCAAGTATATCTGAAAGGCCAACCATGTTCTAACGGTCACCGAAGCTGAAGAAGGATGGACCGAGCAATCGAAATGATTTGGACTCCCGACTCCTGCTCGGAAGTTCGCATTCGAAACACCTGGAGAACATCTGGACACCTGGTCCAAGACACTCTTCCAGAGGGTATCCACTCAACGTGCCAGGGAAGCAGGACTTTTCTGAGATCGTTCCACACAAGGATGGTGGCAACAGGAGAAGAGGTGCTTCTGAAGGACACGTTTTAAGGAGGAGCTTCGTGGTGGTTCCCCACTGCCTGATTTGGCCTGGAATGTAGCTAAAAAGGTTTGTATTTTACAAATGGAGTAGGTGGATAATCAAAGACTATGAAAAGAGTCCTGATTTTGACCCATCAGAAAGACAGTTGACCAAAACAAGGGCAAAACAGCCGCGATAGGTTGA